ATATATATATATATATATATACAAAAGTAATAAAGTTAAGGGCTCCCAATTTTTATGAAAAAAAAGGAAAGTTATTAAAGATTTTTTTCTAAAGTCATTAAGTCTTAACAATGCTAATGACCAAAGGAAAAATTAGCGATTTTTTTCTACAATTTTAATACAATTATTTTTATGAGCTCATTAAGAAAAAGCACTTGTTTGTCAATAAGACAACATACACGACAATTATTACAAGACACGATATTTTATTTCATCAAAAATTATACTTATCTTTTTATTTTATATCTAATATCATCATTATATAATATAAGAAACAGATCGTTTAATTTTGAGACAAGCGATAAGAAGAGTTTGAACTGATTTTAAATCGCATTATTTCTCATCACAGATTGTTAGTTGTACCCTTCGCAACAAAATTTCATTTTAAAATTTATTTTGAAAAAGATTTATTATAAATCAAATTTTCCAACTTAAAAATAAAGTTGTCGATAAAAAATTATTCTTGTAGTACAAGTTATAATTTTTTAATAATTTGAATCAAGCAATATTGGGAATTCACAATTTTATTCATTCCCGAAATAACAGATAGTTTTCCTTAGATTTTTAGAAATCCGAATCATGGAAACATTCTTATCTAATTAAAACAATCCTAAGTTATTTATCTTTCGTTCACTAACATGATGCCGGTAATCCCATAAGTTTCTGAATTTTTGATGTTTTTACAATATATAAACAAAGAGACCTTATAGAAATAAATTCCGAATTTTACCGAAGAAATATAAAGTTTGTTTTACAATCTTAATAAATAATGTCAAATAAGGTGTTTTAGAAGATATGATCTTGCATTTTGCGAATATTTTAATTAAAAAAAAACTTGAGTCTCATTTTTAAATCATTTTTTAGTATACGTAATATTAACGATCCCTTTCGAGCATCGGATAGGCTCTGCCCATATCCTCTTCTGGGATCAGCGGTATATATCTCGTTCTGGGATCATTTTTTCGCTCATAAGCGTATGGAAACATCATCGTGGGATGTATTATATTTCTGGCACTTTTTGTTGTCTTGTATCGCGGAATCTTCTGGATATGCGTGGCAACTGTTGTAGAACTCGAAACATCGTTAATGTCAGTCAACGAGGACAGGTCGCTGGTCGTCTCCTCGAAGTCAATTAGAGGTATGAATTTCCTCTCATACGTGTTTGCGATCGTGGCTTCCTTTTTCGCCTCATCGAAGATGCTAGCTTCGGTAGATTTTTGCGAATTGTCGACGGTATCGATCTCCATCGTCGGGATCGTCGTCGTCACTGTTTCTTCACTCGACAATTCACTCGCAATTCGCGCGGTCGTTGAAATAATATCGCTCTTGATCATGATCGGAATCCAGTCATTGTCAGGTTTGACTTCAGTTTCCACATTTGCGTTGGCCTTTTGCAAAGTCCAGTCATGACTATGATCGAGCGACCAGTCCAGTGATCGCGAAACGTTTGAATCCCTTCGCGACAGAGAATTCTTCAAAGTCGATTCACTAATCGGTTCACCAATTGGTTGCCAATCACTATCCTTGCTTGCTGCTTTCGTCTCGAGACTGGTGGAATTGGTGCTTACTGACTTCTCCGGATACACAGCCTCGACTATCATCGGCGATTCCTCAACTCTCGATATAGTATGCTCGTTTTTGTTCTTCTCCGTTTGAGCACTCGAGGATTCCTCATAACGTTTATCGTCGAGGTTGAACTTCTCGGACTTGCGTTGACCGATTTCCACCCGCAGGATTTGATCCCTGTTCCATGATCGACTAGTCGTCCTACTGATCTCTGCAGTGTTATCGATGCTTCTTGGACGCACTATATCATTCAAAAGAGGGAAATACTTTGGCTCTTCGTGCCGTATACCAGTCACAAAGCTTGGTGTGTACTGCGAGATCAGGGGCAACAGAGTTTGTCGAGCGTATCGTTCCGCTTGCGCCAGGATACCAGCCAATCGCTCAGGTAGAAACTGCACGGTGAACGCTCTCGTGGAGGTCGACGACGTCTCCTGTATCTCGTCATGTTGCTTCTCGTGTGATATCACCTCGTTCCGCGTGTTGTGCCTGGTAGCGCGTGGACGCAGAATCGGTTCCGTGATCTCGGGCAGCTTGAGCGATCGACCAGCGTCTTTCTTACTCGGACGCAATACCGGTTCTCTGATCTCCGACAAGTACTCCGTAGTAGTCGCAACAGTGGTCACGGTGGTCTCAACAACACGCTCCGACACTGTCGAGGCATGGTAGATCAGATTCGTGGCACCGGAAAAGCTCCGTCCTTGCTCTGACTCTGCGTTCTCCAGCGAGTTTGAGTCGCCATCACCGGATATGTCCAGGATGATCCACGGATTCGCGACGTTGCGCCGCTTTTCTGCATCCTCGAAGGATGTCACCGTCTCGATCTCGGAGACGCGTCGATTCTGCTCCTTCGTGAACGGACCGAGATTTCGTCTTTGCGACGTTCTCTCTGTCGGCAGAATTTCCATGGAGTATCTTGGAGGATCCTTTGTGTCGTAGTTTTGCTCTTTCGTAAAAGGTCCTATGCCACCCTGTCTGTTCTCCACCTCTACGTGTTCGAGTATTGGTACCGAGGAAGATACAGTGGAGTTGTCAGTATCCAAAGGTATGTTGCATTCGCCGGGATAAAGGGGTAGGTAAACTGACCGAGCAGATTCTAGAATCAAGCCCTTCTTACAAACCGAGAGAATCTTGCCGAAACTATCGATTATTGCCACCTTGTCAATGGTCCACGACACCAATCCGGACGATATCCAGCCACTATATGCCGTGTATTTGATCTGTTAACATAAAAATAATTACAACAATTAATTATTTTAAATTAAAATAATTATCTAATTCATTGTATGTAGTAATGTAGAATCAATAGCTGATTTTGATGTTTTTAATTCTTTATTCTGATTTATTAATGCCTGTTTCTACTAACTTATGTATATTTCTATCAACTTATTCTTCATCTTTTTTGAATTCAATTAGAGATAGAATTAGATAAAAATTAAGAACTAGTTGAAGAATTAGATTAAATTAAACTACATTGGTAAAAACTGGCATAAGAACGCATGGATTATTTCGATAAGACGTCTGACATCTCAAATGTAAATTAACAATTAATTATACTAATGTTAAAGTAGAATTTTATAGTATTTTTCTAAAAAATATGTTAATTAAAAGTCTGTGTTCATGTAATTACAGCAAAAAATAAAACACAAGTAAGTTTTAGTTGTGCAAAGATATAAATTACTACTTGTGTCGAAATTTAACTCTCAATATGGAAATATAATTAATATATCAATATAATCAATACACTTACTTCGATCGCTTCGAGATGAGTGACTGCAGGATGCGGTACGACGATTTTTTGAAGAATGGCTCCTACCAAAAGTTCTTCATCCTTGCGAGTCATCGCAAACGTATCATTGTAAGAACTTTTTCCCACAAGTGTAATCTGAAAAAAATCCAAGACTGAGATATTTATCATGAAAAAGATTTTAGAACTTTCACTTTTATTTTCAATCTAACAATAAGACGAAGAAACTATCTGAAAAATTCGTGAAAGCTGTACAGCAAAAGTAAAGCAGAAATAATTTCTAATTTCTATATTTTTTTTTTATTCTATATTTTATTTTTATTTACAATACATTTTTTATTTGAAAATAGAATAGAACAGAAATAATAATTTCTAATTGTAAGTATTGTATTAAATTATATGAATGTAAATTATATGAATGTATGACAAATTTGCATACAAAAAGAACAATTTTGCTGAAGTATCTTAAAAATTTCGTTTTTTCTGTGAAACAGAGAAGTGGAATCCTCATTGCTATTTGCTACTCGTTGAAAGATTTCGTCTCGGACGCTCACCTGAAGCTTGCCATAGGTCTTGGTGGATCTCTCACTGCGACTATTATAGACCTTGATCTGATATTGATGAGCGCAAAAAGGCTCCTCATCTCTCGTTACTAAATAAAGCTGGCCTCTGGCAGGTGATTCGTTACTGTAATAACCCATGTCGCCGCAAGGTCGATCAGTACCATCCATGCCGCAGGGGAAACAATCACCCTTCAATAAGCCATCATATCCTTGTTCACAAGGGAACGCTGGAAATCGGCATTTCGGACTTACGGAGTCGGTGAAGAACTTGTACGCCCGACGATGATTGCACAACGATCTCCCCTCGACCGCACTCGCTGTAACGATTACATTGTTATATAATATAGAGATTCATTACTTTGTATTTTAACTTCCGAAGTTGGATCTATTTAATCTACTCAATATTTTTATGTTACACAATTGTATTGCAAATTTGAATTATTGTTATTAAAATAAACATATTTGTTTTGCTTTTTTTACGAGTGATGTCATGTTAGCATAATTATAATTCGAATAATAAAAAATTAAGGGGCATAGAAAGGATGGCTTTGCTGAAGTAAAAAAATTTAGTTAGATATAGCTATGAAAATAATTTTGTTGGACCACATGAAAATAATTATGAAGAAAGCTCAAACTGCAAAAATATACAAGAATGATAAAATATTTGACAGCATTGCTTATCATGCTTAAAATTGCTAAATAATTATTTAGATGATCTAATAAAATTCTTTTCAGATCTGTATCTAGCTAAAATTTTATAGATAGTTTCAGCAAAACTGTCCTGTATGACAGATTCTGAGATGTCAACTTTGGATATTTTTTATAACGATATACATAAGGTGAACTTACACCAAATAATGTCAGAAACGGCACCAACAAAAATATTCGAACATCCGCTTTGCATTTTTCCACCGTTCGGATAATAATCTACGTCACCCATAGGCTGCCATGAGCCGAGTCCACCCAAGATGAGCTGCTCACCATTGCTGTGAATAACATCGACGAAATTTGCATCCGTTGCATCTAAACGAACTCTCGGATCATGCGATTCGAAAAGTGGCCCTGCGGGATCCAATCCTATTGACATACGAAAACAGAATGTGTATTCCATAATCCTCTAAGCTATGAGTTTTTCATTATAATTAAATGCTTAGAATAATGATCATAAAAATATAAAAAATAGAGAACTATTATTGATCTAGAAAGTTGTAAGTAATGGTCTTTGGCATCTCTGCAATCATTTTCGCGAAGATTGCTATCACATTTTAAGAGAAATTTCATTTCAGTTTCCAATAGAGGCAGTCAGCATTATGGATAAGCATTCGGATGCTAAATTAAAGTAAAGTTAGTAAATACGCTTACCGTAAAAATATCAACCGGTTGCTCCTGTAGGTACGTGAATTATTATAGATAATATTTTTACTTTACGCGTCACGCGTAATTGGCTATTCATTTACATTTGCGATGGTGAATGTATGAAATCGGGATAAAAGTTGCAAAAAAGCTTTACATGGAATAAATAACCTTGAAAAAGCGTGAAACGGCAATGAAAGGGTGTATAAATTACTTCTCAAGTTTGGAAAATAAATTTCTCTTTATTAAAACTTTATAAAAATATTAAGGGAGGTCACGTTAAAAGATATAAATGAATAAAACACAATTCGAAATTAATGAAATACTCGTGACAGCGAATTAGGTGCAAATTACGGAAAGAATTGTTTCTTCTTAATTTTACTTATGTAAAATAGCGTCGAAATAGCGTAAAACGAGTAATCAGCGGAAAGATATCATTTGCTCTGCATTAAGAAAAAAATTTAGTACTTTTAGTTGAAGCATTTTTTTTAATAGCCATTTTCTTCTTTACACATATAAGAAAAAATTTGCTTCTATGAAATACATTTTTTTGCTTTATAAATAACAAAAAAATTTGTTTATATAAACTGAACAATTTATTTTACATAAGATAATTTTATTCGGTATATTTTATAACAATTATTGTTCGGTATATTTTAACTAAATTTTTGTAGTTACAGCAAAATTTTAATTTATAAAATAAAACATTTTTCCTAGTGTAATAATTTAAAATTTGAGAAATGCTCGTCTCATTTTGTCAAAATCCCGGAAAAAGAAATCCGGAGAAACCCAAGTATACATATGGTACCTATTTACAATTAGTGAAAAAAACTCACGATCGATAATTCACCGTGTTGATATTCGATTAAAAGGCATCAGCGCGTGTCGAGGTAAGAGGCATAGAATGCAGCAAGCATTTAAATGCATCGAAATGGTTGCCGAGAGCGGGACCTTGTTACAGTTACTCTCTAATAATCGATTATACGCAAGAGATTGTGCTCGATTGGCCAGATTGCGATCATCGAGATATTTTGCACACAAGAAATTTACACGGAGATTATTGTTGACAATTCAAGTCAATGCAAATACAAATGAATACAATGATCTGAGTTAATGTCGTAGGAGAAATGATGCTATTGCAAATGTAACATAGAATAAATTGAAAATCACATCACGATATAAATGCGTAATATAAAAAATATATCGCTTTTAAAAAATATATTTGTTAGATAAAAATAGCCGATAAAAATAGTTCAATCCTATTCGGTTAATTCGCGAATCCAGGACCTTAATTTTTTTTAAATACTTTGTGAAAAATTATTTATGATCTTACATAATTTTAAGTTACATAATCTTATTATTCAAATTTTAATCTTTGAAATAAAAGAAAATACGTTCAATTATGTTAACATTAAACATAGATGTATTAATTTAAAGTACACTGAACCTATAAATATCAATTAAAATTTCGAAATTGATTAAGGTTAAAATATATTTGGCCTTGAAGTACATGCAATGTTTTTTTTTTCTTGAAACTTGTCGAAAGTATTTTGCCAATATGTAGTCATGTACGATAATGTAGTCAAGATAATATTTAATATCTAATTAATATATAATTTTTTAATATCTAATATATAGATGTATTATAACTTATATAATGCTTTAAAATCTTACGTCCATTTCTTTTTCTAAAGTTATCATTCAAAAACTGTGACAATCGATGTCGATCTCCCTTACCTGAAGACTCGATTTGCATACATTATGGTTTCACCATAAAGAGTTGTTATTTAAATATCTGTTGAATTACGTAAAAACTCGATTTTACGTAAAATTTTATACGATAAGATCGCAGTGATCACGTGTGAAATGTTTGACTTACCGGTAATTCTAGAGACATTTCCGAGCTCAGCACCGGCAAATCCAGCTACGTGGGCTCCCAGACTAAATCCTATCAAATGTACTTTTTCCAGCGGCACGTTTAAACTACGAATTAATTTTGCCAATTGTCGGCCAACTAATCGTGTATTGGCCGCTGCCCTTACATAATTGGGTACAGCGCTACCAGGTCCCCAATCCACGCAAACTAGAAGTGCGTAATGCAGTTAAAATTATGCAGTTAGCATTCAACGAAAAGAACATTTATGCATACATGCTTGTAAGAACCGTAATTACTTGTTTAATTACTATATATTTATGAATAAAAAGTGAACATTCGTGAATTTATTAAATTATATAATTGCATCTCACAATCTATGCCTAAACAGCATAATTATAAACATATAAATATATTATTATACAAGCCTCACTATTGCATTATTATTAAAGGAAATTAATTTATTGACAAATAATTATAATATTTAATAGACTTTATAAAATAATATATTTTTGTTAGAAAAAATAGAGAAGCAACGTTTACCGTTAAACTTTCTGCAAATTCTTGTATTAAGAGATGTAGGCCAGGTTTTTATTTCTTAAGATCAGTTGGACACGAGCCATTAAAATAGTTACGTAAATTTTGTTACATAAATACCTATATTGCAATCGTGGATGCTCATTAACGCGGATCGCATATCGTAAACCCATAAATGGTTGCAATCGCTTCCAAATCCATGCACGATCACTTTGGTTGGAAGATTAGGGTCTATGGCACGGCGGACGTTATCATTTATATTATCGGCGGGTACTTCCATAGGGATCGATCTTGCTTTTCTACTTCCATATACAATGAATCTGGCGAAAGAGAATGCCAATTACACAATTTTTTTAAATGAAAATATTTTATATCGCAATTATATGGTCTCACGCACACATTATCACGTAATACAATATCACATATTTTCCATAATAGAGTTTACACCACCCTAGTCGATTATCAAATAAAGGTAACATAACGTCTATGTTGTAATTTCACACTAAATAAAATGTAATCTGGGTCAAAAGTATTAAGCATTTTAGTATATATAACTATTATTTAATGTTTTAATTAAAATTTGACTTACGACATTTGCTGTGAATTATCTTTGTTTTGAAAAAATAACTTTAAACTTATATAATGCCGATAACTAATAAGTGAGTAAATAAAAGAACTCTAGGTAAATAAAAAAGTACAATTATTAATACTTTCGGCCAAGGCTATATAACATGATGTTACATAATAGTTACATCATTGAGTGCGAAAATATAATATTAATGTTATGTCACTTTTAATTAGTGTCAACTAGGACGTTTTTTGTACATGCTATCAGATATCTTTCGTATTTTTTACCTAGTTCCGACGTCTTTTGGCGGTGACGGTAGCATCTCCAAATAACTGAAGGGTCCAGTATCCTCGAAGCATCCGATGTCCTCATAGCAAACCTTGGACACCTCTCTTTTTCCTCTATGATTAACCCTTTTGTGAAGCATCCATTGTCTCATTGACTCGACGACAGCGCGAAAAATTTCCGCGTCGTTCTTTTCGTCCAAACTTTCATCGAAAGACGAGAACACCTGTCCCGCAATGGGTTCTGCTGAAATATTGTTACATAATGAAAAAAGATACATATAACATTTATAGATACATAATGCATTTTGTTTTGCGTCATTTTATGTTAATAAATTTAGCTAACAGACAGAATTAATTAACTTTATGTAAAAAGTTATTTAATTAAAGAACCGTTTGTTATTAGAAATTGGAGAAATTAAGTGTTATCAATTATTTTATCAATCACGTTTCGAAAGAGTATGTTTAGTTTTGAAAGTGTATGTCTAATTCTTGTAAATTCAAGTAAAGTTTATTCAATGGTTAAAGAGCATTTCGGTACGCTATTTGCGCTAATATTTGTAACGGCTTTCCCGGTTCATGGCTTGCGGCCGCTATCATTATTAGTATAACGCCTGAATAACAATTTCCTGGAACGCTACAGCAATATTTTACACTTGATAAAATGATAGGTATTCCCTCTTTTAAGCTTCATTGCTTATTATTATATCAATTTTGTTATTACCAGTCCCGTAATTCAATTATAATCTGTAGCAGATGCACACTCCTAACAGAGGAGTGCTCCTAAGATATTGATCAGATAAAAGGCATCGACAAATGTCTGTAGTTTGCGGTTCTTTGTTAGATTCAAGTTAATTTTTTTTTCTTAACAAAAGTAATTGATGAATTTTAACGAAATAAGCTTTAGGCCAAGAAGCTTATTTATTTGTCTTTTACAGAAGAGAAAATAGCAATCAGATAAAGAGAAGATTACAAAAAAAACAATCGGGTAAAACAAGTAATAATCGTAAAAGTATTTTTAGTAAAATAAAATAATACGTTCCACATAGTATTATGTAGTAATTGTTAAAGACAAATATAATAAAATTTGATTATAAATCTATTGGGTCGTCCGGAAAGTTCGTGCCGATGTTGAAGGAAAATTGAAACGCAGAAAATTTTAATTTAATAAATGTATACTAAAATTTAAATTTTAGTCGGCACGAACTTTCCGGACAACCCAATACTTTGAATGTTATAACGGTATCAAAAGAACTATAACAGAATCTTTATTAGATCTCAAGTTATTTGTTTTTCTTCAACAAACAAGTTTCAGATAAAGAAGTTTATTTACTTCTTTTCTTCAGAATAGAAATTGCAAAGTTGATAAAAGTAATCGGATAAATCGTAAAGATATTTTAGTGTAATAAAGTAAGTAATAAGTCTTATACAGTATTAGATAGTTTGACAAAAATTTAAAATAAAAATGTAATGAAATTTTATTTAAATTATTATAAATTTACTTTGAACATTGGTTCAAGGATGTTTTTTGAACATTATTTTTATTTGAATATTACGTTTATTTGAACAGCAGTGTTAAAAGTCATATTAGATTTTTTGTTAGATCCAAAGCTATTTTTAATTGAAGAGATGATTTAAGTGATAATTATTGAATTTTAATATTGAGTTTCAGTTGAAGAAGTTTATTTATTTTTCTTTTTCAAAAGAAAAGATTGCAAAATAATTGATAAAAACAACGGATAAATGATAAAAATAAATCATACACATAGTGTTAAATAATTACTAAAGGGAGGGGGGGGGCACAAGCATAATAATAATAATATCTTATTTAAGTCATTGTAAATATTTCAAGAATGTTACAGCAATGTTAAAAGCCCGTAACAAGTATGATGAATTTTATATGTTATTGAGAATTTATAATATATAACGTATAATTTACATAAAATGATCGATAAAGAATTGTAGCTAGTAGAACACGCAATCGCGATCGTGCGTGTCAGTAAATGTGGCATTAAAGTCATTGTAAGCGTATTTAATTTAAATCGCGGTGATTTCCATGTTTTCCCTTTTACAAGCACAGCTTGATGCCACTGAAAATGTTAACAGAAGACGGTTAATTATTCAACAGTGAACGACTGTAATTAAGGCTACTGTTCACTCACTACTACTTTTTCAGATTATGACGTCAGAAACAAGAAAACACATCAAATTCTTACAAATTATATTTGAATAAATATATTTTTTAATATAAAACAATATTTATATAATCAATGGTATAAATTTATAAATTGAAAATTGTCTTCTTATTTCAGCGAGAAATTAAACATATTAATTTCTATATATTATTAATTTAATCGATCGATTTAATATTATTAATTTAATAGTTTGTTGTTAATAGTTTGTTGACATATTACAGTTTATTTCGTTTTTAGTATATGCATAATTTATTTCCAGATAAATGGTTATTTATTATTTAATTAACAAGAAAAGAATTTTTAATATATTTACAAGGTTTTATCGATTATAAGTGCTGTTTTATTGAATTGTATTTTCATATTAGAATATACAAAATTTTGCAAAATTTTTAGGGTATTTCTCACTTCTGACATCACAATTCGAAATAGTAATAAATGAATAAACAGAGTCTGACCTTGTAAGAGAGTTGGCGTTATTAAAGTCTTTATGAAAATTAAATTATGAACATTAAATTTATTAATTATTCAACATAATTCGCCAAGGATGTATTTGCTACTTATTATTCTTATTATGAATTTTAATTAAAATCGATTTAACGTGATACAATGAAGAGATGAAACGTTGAAAACTAAGAAGAAAAATTTATAATAGTTTTTCTATTGAATCCAGAATATGAGAATATTCTGGAGAAAAACCCCGTAATGTTCTAGAGAAAGTAAAATATATACAATTAGAAAACGCATATTGCAATAATTGTTCTGTGTTTTATCAAATGCTATTTGTGTAATGCACCGCTAAAGAAAGATGAAAAACAATACCGCAGCAAAATTCATTGAAAGATCTTAACTGTGAAAGATCTATAATGCTAGAAAAATATGCTAAAAAATATAGGGGTCAGGGATTTACGTTGAAAAATTAAGACATTTTATGTTTATTTATAAGTGAATTTTATTGTATTCTTCGAGATGATTAAGATAGCGCCATATCATATACACTTGCTTATACACTTTCTGCGCGCGAAGAGAATGTAGAAGAATACCTAAATTTTATGATTCCCATCCTTCTTTCAAAGAATACTATAATCATTCAAGATGATTCGGAGAATTCCCAACGCATCTATGACATTATATGCGGATACCTACGCAATTTTAGGATAATTTTACAGTTAGCGACGGTCAGCGATGAAAATTATTATTCGCATTGTCCTAAATCGTTCTTTATCCATCAGATTCTTACGATGTGAAACTGCAACGTTCATCCCATTTGATTGAAATGTCTTTTTAATAACGCCATAAGCAATTTACGATTTTTTCCAATATATTTCAAAATATAAAACAAACAGGAAGTGAACTGTCGCGTACAATAGATTGCTACGAAGTAACTGGAAAATAGTGACACTTTAACCCTCTTAGCGTACTGTCTCGAACGATGTATTTGCAATGACTACGCGTAAATTTTATGTCACGTCACGTACATACAAAGCGTCCCACTTCTGCCACATTATTTTTTAATGGCAAACCCTACTGGCCAACTTGGAGTAGATTTTTTTTCGACAAAGCTGTCAAGGCATATATAATTTTCCATTAACGACTAAAGGTAAATGGGTTTCAGTGATAAACTAAGTCATATTCTTTAGTAAAAGAAGAAGACATTTATAAAATTTAATAGTCAATTATTCCGAATTTAGATATTCCGAAGAATGCTTTCCAGACGAACCGCAGACTCGGTCATTCTCTCTATAGTCGCTCTTTACCGTCTTGGACAGGTTAATGCTCGTCGCTTTGCAAGTCAAGTAGTTAGCGATTGAGTCGGCGAACATATCCTGACCTTACAACCCAGTTTTGACCAGTGCTACCTCAGAGTAGAAGGCAAAAGAAGCGGTCCAAAGTGTCGTCTCCATATCGGAGTGAATGGGAACTAGGCGTCTGGTACGAGCGACTTAATGAAGCTATGGGAATGAGTTGGCAGATTAATTTACATTCTCATGACTCGTGAAAATAAAGCGATCTGCTGACTGATACTCGTTTTGCGAAAAACGAGACGGAGAGGCATGAGAATCCATGCCAGTGGACTGATTGCAACGGAGAAACTGACAAAAGGAAAATCGGAAAGGCCTCTGGGAGATCTCGGAGAAGTACTAGTCGTTGTACGATGGTCACTTAGGCGAGCGTGCCGCTCGACTTTTTGCTCACTAAAGTTGCTCCACAAAATGAACGAGTGAGGGAGAGCGGTGAAAAAGGGAAATCACGGATACCGAAGGCGGAGAGAAGAACTAGAGATTGTCTGTAACAATATTTCAATGATTTATGTGACATTCATTATCGTTTTCTGATAAAATACTAATATTTCTTCGCAAAAAACAACTTGAGGAATGTCCTGAAGTGGTTAAAAACAGTTCTATAATAGAAACAAGAAAATTTTTTACTCTTCTTTAGCAAAATGTATGATTTTAATATTATTTAATATTATTTATAATAATTTGTGAGAACATTGCTTCTAACTTTTCTAACCATACGGTCACGTTTTATCTAATTCATTTTCGCAATTAACGTCCTAAATAATCGTAATTATTTTACTTGAAATAAGAAATGAATAAAGTGGATTCGGTTACAAGAATCCAAATCCAAGTTAAAAAGTCCTCATCGAAAAAAATAGAATTTTTTAAATGTCACTCTACTCTTTCAATCGCATCAAAGTTTAATAAATCGAAGATTTTTGTTTCAATGTTGATTAATTTTAATCTTGATTCAATTCTTTTTCACGGAAAAAAGATTTGTTAAAATAATTGATTTATTGATTCAGTAAATCTATAGCCTGTTTTCTTAAAGTAGCAATGTTGTATAGCTTCATAAAATTAGCGATAGGAAATTATATTTATTGTAATAACAACTTTAATACAGCAAAGATAACTTATTTTTATGAAAATCAATCAAATATATAGATCAAAATTTTTAACAAAACGTACTAGCTAAGATGGCGAATATTTTTGCTGTAATAAAAAAAACTTATTACATTAATAATTTTCATTATCTTCATTGAAAGAAAAGA